GATTGCTATCGAGCTTCTCATAATTGGGCTATGAAGCATTTGTTACATCATCATCGATTGAGGAATCGGGTTCTCCGCCTCCTGGTGTATCACTTTGATTTTCAACAGACTGGGAAAAGTGTTCCCCTCATAAATTTTGTATACTCTGGGCATCGGTTACGTTTCAAGGGTGCACGAATTGGATGCAAGAGTAGCACCGCGACTGTAACTTCATACCCAGAAGCTTGACTACACCGCATTACACCTAAAAATATTATTAAAAAGTTTTGGGAAAACAAATGTTATTATGTATACACATGGAGTTTTCCACTTGGCTGCTCAGCCTTGCCTAGATTTTCATAAAATAAGAACACGCTATTTTCGGTACAAAAAATTTATTATTCTCATTAATCGCAATATAAATATAAGTTAACGCCGGTAACCAAACCTCAGGTCAAAATATCGCTTCAACGGAATACAGCTTTGCACGTAACAACAAAGAAAAGTTCAATACAATAATCACGCATCCGGCCTTATTGCTGACCCTACACTTATAGTCTTGCGCGTGGCAACAGCATACCAAATACACGGCTAATAACGTGCAGCAACTAAAGTTAGTCTTTCTTATGTAGAGTGGTTATAACAACTCTTCCGCTGTAACCGGCTGCCCTTGTTAATACTAGCGCCCAACGTGGGGCCCTACCACGACAAAAAAGTTTAAGAAAATTTCTCTTCGAGTATAAGACATTAAATAAAACACAAGTGCTACCATAGAAGTGCCACAATAGTTCAAGAGAAAATATTTAGGACATTAAATAAAACTCAAGTGCCACCATATAATTGTCACTATAAATAAATTAGAAGAAAACAACAGGGGACAACTAATTTTAACAACCACCAATACAACAATCAAGGAGACATACAACACACTAACATATGAACATGGAAATATTCATGTAAGTAGAAAGGTCAGCAGCTAAATATATTTATCAATAAAAGTGTAAAATCAATTAGATTTCCATTCGAAAAATAAAGATAGTGTTTGAATTAAAGACCATGGACCCCCAGGCTCTACAAGCCCTTCTAAATACCGCAATCCGTGCGGCAGCCGAGCATTCTAGGCAGGCGTTTCAGACCTGCATAGACGAGCTTACAAATAGGTCTGGCTTGAGACCCGAAATCAGGTGATTCGATATGAACCAGTTACAATTGAACCAAATGTAGTAAGTGACGAAACCCAACACCTAGTAAAGACCATACCGGAATTCGAGGGTGATCTTTCCAGTTATATCTCCTGAAGACAAGCGGCGCACACGGCGTATAAAGTATTCGAAGGATACCAAGGTAGTTCTAAACACTACCAGGCAGTAGGCACCATAAGAAACAAGATAGTAGGGGCAGCGGACAGTGTACTTTCGTCTTTCAACACAGTGAATTTTAAAGCAATTATTGCAAGGCTATATTTTGCATACGTTGATAAACGGCTCATCCATCTAATAGAGCAGGAGCTGTCTATCTTACGGCAGGGTAAACTATCAGTGATAACGTTCTACAATGAGGAAAGGCAACTGACCCTCATAATGAACAAAACGATCATTACTTACGGTGGAAATGCCACCTTCATAGAGTAACTCAATAGTAAATACCGCATCGTCCTTTATGTGGCATACTATTTTCCTCCAGGCCTAATGACCTTCCCTCCGCTTTAACTTGAGCACAAGAGCTTGAATCAAATCAAGCTAGGTTTGTGTTTGCCCAGTCCTTTAACATGCAAACAATTCACAGTCCCAGCAAGTTTCCAGTATTATCACAGTACCAAACGATTCGGCTTGACCAGCAACGAAGGACGTGCCAATGGATGCAGAATCATCTCTCTCAAGGTTCAGACAAAATAGACTCCAACCAATACCAATATTATAAGAACAATAAGGACCACCGATGGCTTTCCAGCTTGCTCAAGGAGCTAGCCATATCCCATAGCTCCAGCCGAGCCTGTCAATAAGGAGATAACGAAGCTCTTGCGGCGCGGTATAATAAGGCCAACCCTTTCTCCTTATAATAATCCAATTGGGGTTGTAAGTAAAAAGAGCATCGACGAGGACGGTAACAGGAAATCCAGACTCGTGATAGACTTTAGGAAACTGAACAACAAAACAGTTAGGGACAAGTATCCGATTCCGGACACTTCCGTAATTTGGCTAACATTGGAAATGCCAGGTTTTTCTCAACAATAGGCCTCAAGTCCGGCTTCCACTAAATTAAGCTAGCTGAAAAAATCGAGAAAAACAGCATTATCGGCCAATAACAGCAAATACGAGCTCTGTAGGCTCCCCTTTGGCCTAAAAAATGCGCCCAGCATTTTCCAGAGGGCCATTGATGACGTATTAAGAGAAGAAATCGGTAAAATATGCCACGCCTATGTATATGATATCATAATTTTCTCGGAAAATGCTGAGCAACATTTGAAGGACCTAGACCAGGTACTACACATACTTTACGTTGCTAATCTGCGAGTATCCGCCGACAAGTCAAAATACTTTCAAGAAAGTGTCGAGTTTCTGGGCTTTACAGTGTCTACAGTGTGTACAGAGGGTATCCGGGCATGACCCGATAAAGTCAAGGATATTTTGGACTTCGCTGTCCCTAAATCCGCGACCAACTAAATAGAGCTCTTGGCGATCGTATAGGCCTACAAAGACATTAAACATTTATACAGATGACCACCCACTCACCTTTGCTTTGTCTAAAAAAAAAACCGAAATGCAAAGATGAAAAGGTGGCCCGTTTGTGTTCGGACATAATCGTGCATCCTGACGCGAAAATGAACAGCAGTTCTTAGAAAATTACTACTTTCCTGACTTAAGAAAAATGTTAAAAGAAATAGTTTCAAATTGCAAAATATGTCATAAGGCAAAATACCAGCGGCATCCCCCTCAACCGGACATAGAATCAACTCCCATACCTTCGTACCCAGGAGATATCCTTCACGTTGACGTTGAGTACATTCAACTCAGTAAATGCACGAGTATTTGGCGCAATGTTTACCTAATTTGATTTAGCTGTCTTGACATTGAAAGCATAGATAGAAAGTTTTTCGCGAACAATGAAGCTTATCTGTTCAAGTATTTCTGGACAACGAATAGAACTAGAGACTGCCATGTGAGTCTATGGCTAAGAGGTTTCATTGATATAAGCTTACACCGATCACTGTAAGGTGGTAATGGGTCAGTAAATAAGATTGGTTGAAGGGCAAAAACGGATAAAATTTGTTTGGAGCTTTTCACTGTATTGGAATGTGTCGAGTGCACTAGATTTCAAAATTATAGAGCCTTATTCTAGCTTTGAACGAACGCAAGAGTTAAGGGAAATAGGAATTTCTAAAGTCCTTAGCATAACGTCGTAAAAATGCTAAATTTGAATAAGATTTTTAAACTATCGTTGACAAATGAAAAATCAAAGTTAAAATTGATTTCAAGGTCAGAAAATCCTTTAACTTTATAAAGATGGGAAACAGCTTGAGGCTTCAAAAATTTAACATAGAATTATTTCTTAGTAAATATTAAAGAGTTTGTATTGGATGCTCCAAGAAGTTAAGTAATTTTGACCTTGTTGTATAACATTAACATCAGATGTATAAAATAATTTGCTAAGCAGCTTCAATTAAATATTTAATTTTCACATTACGAAACTCCCTCCTCCACCAGAAGGAGTTTCCCTAACCTCGTATGCCGATGACTGCACGATAATGGCGTCTGGATAGGATATTGATGACCTCTGTTCGAAAGTGAACTGCTACCTTGCTGATGTTTCTCACTTCTTCACTGCACGACAACTGAAAATACAACCAACCAAATCCTCGGCTACTCTCTTCACCAGCTGGACTAAGAAATACATATTGTAGCAGATTAAACTCCTACTTTTCCAGACTCGACCCCAGCATATCCAACGTATGCCCTGCATGTGGAGAGTCTGCGCACGACTTTAACCACCTCTTCATATATCATTTTAAACGGACTCATGGAACCCCCCTCTGCCTCTAGTCCAATCCCGTCGAATCAGCACGTTTCCTGGATCTCCCATTAGATGACCCGGTGTCTTAGATTATTCAAACCTGTACCTAAGCGGGATAAGCGAACCGATACAACATCAAAAGCAGCACGAACACGAGCATGAAGAGGGTGTAATTTCTGTTGCGAGATTTCTGATAAATCGAAAATAATAGTTTCAAAGCTCTCATAAACATACTTATTACGAAATATTTAACTCCAATCTATATTCAGAATTTTCTTATTTATGAGGTCAAAATTGGAAGTCAGAAAACTTAAGATAATAATTAGGATGAGATACAAAATACTCAAGTGAAATAGGCAAAGGTACGTGGTGCATACGTATCTGAAAGTAATATTGGCCGATATGAAAGTTTACTTCCTATTTTACAGAAACAAGATCTAGTATTTTTCCAGTCATATAAAAAGTTGAAGTAGGAACGCCATTATTTATAATATTATTTATATCAGTAGTGTAAAAGGATTTAGGAACACCAGGTGGAATATATGAAGCGCATGTAAATAATTTTCCAAAGGTTCCAAGCAAACAAATACAAAATTGATCCAGTAGTGAGTCTGAATTAGTAAGCTCGATAACTGATGAACGTAAAGTACGTTTTACAGATATTAAAGCACGGCCACTTCTTAAGAAACGAATACGCTCAGCATCCCTCCGATCACGATGATTTTTGGTTTTAATGTAATCGTTTAAGCGGTTACAAAAGCGCCAATTATAAATATATATATAAAGGCTTTTTTGGGGGGATTTTGACAATAACCCTCAAATCTGAACAAATCGGTTGTTGGGACCAATTGGTAAGTCGTCCGATTTTGACTTTCAGTGTTAAAACTCTGCGATCTAAAGCTTCATATCCAAACAAGTCGAACATTTAGCTTAAAAAATGCATTATTAGCCAAAAACTGCAAATTTCCGCCACTTATAAATGATTTTTTTCTTTTATTTCTTTCTTATAGACAATGTTATCGCGATGAGAAATCTGCCATGTTTGGGTGTTGGTGTCGGTAGTAGTGGCGGAGGCAGCGGCGGCATCGGCGTCAGCAGTTTAAGCGGCGTTGGCGTCGGTGACAGCGATGGAATCGGCGGTGGTGTCGGCGTGCCTAATACGGGCAAAACAGCTGCGGTTGTCGCCGCCGCTGCTGCTGCTGCTTCTCTAGATGCAACAACTGTCATTGAGGCGCCCTGCTTAAAGCCACACACAACGCCGTCATATTTCGCAACAACCTATTACCACCTAAGTGACGATGAGTGTATGTTTAAATATTCATATTCTAGAAATATAATTTTGTATACAATTTGTAAATAATATTTATAAAATAATTGAGACAGACTTTCAGTCCTCTAGTCGCTCACCTACATTATACCTATATTCACACAAATACACAAACGGCAGTCATAAACACATCATTGCTACATTCATACATATGTATTACAAGTAAAACATGTAATTAGTAGAGAAAACTCCACAAATTTTTAGAGGGCCTTCTTGTCAAAAGGTTCATATCTCTCGTTGCCATCCCATGCCCACATGCGACTATAGTTGGAGTTCAGAGCTGCTGTACTCCAGCATGTGAGGTCGGTAATACTAATCGACTAGTTGCTCATCTGCTGGATCAAGAAAACCCCACAAATGGTTAAAGGATTTACCTGACCCTAAGCTCCCATCAAAATTTTTTAAGTAAACGCTATCTATTGTAGACTCGTAGTAGTCAAGGTATCTATAGCTTGTTTCTCCTTGTTGTCCACAATTCGACCTGGTGTCCATCTTGGTTGGTTACCTTTAGCATAAAGTAATAGTGATCCATTGATGTAAATTGATGGTTTGCTGAATTCTATTGCTTCAATGACCTTACTATATGCAAGCACTTCGATTTCACTGATTGGTTCTTTTCCCCCTTCCTCAGTTAGTTAGTTATAGTAGTGTTTTATTTTTATGGCATAATTATTACAGTCTGGTGTGCTCGTTTGTGGCCGTCATAATATCATTGATCGTTTGTAAAAGCTTATTTGTGGTTTTAAAGATTTCAGAGCTCACATTATATTGTTGAACATTGTTGTTTAAAAGGTTTTCCTGCAAATTTAGGAGTTAATCACAGTTTTTTGCACCGGATGTGCTAGCCATCTAGTTCCACGCTGATCTAGTACAGTTGAATGAGCGTTGTGGCCTAGTGTCCTTGGGTCCCCTTAAGTCGCATAGGCAGAATTTTACTTTTTGTATTTGGTATTTTAAAACACCGGCAGTTAAGTCTTTAGGAATGATTTGCAGGTTTATTATGGTTTTATCTAGTTTATCGGTGATTTTTTCGAAGTTCGCCAAGTTAATGGCGTGTATTAGCTTGAAATGCCCATTGTCGACCCAGGCATAACCGTCTAGGATGGTTACAACAGGTGTATCAATTTTTTGATAAATCATATATTTGTGCAGTTGCACAGATATTCATGTTGTAGAAATTAGATACATTTTTTTTTGTTAATGTTAGGTATGTTCCCCGAAATACAAAGTAGTTTTTTGAAAAGAAGGATAAGGCAGCATGGGCCATGTGTAGAAGTACTCACAAATGAAGAAAGTTTTTGACTTCTATTCACCTGGGAGTGGCCAGAAGCGATAATTTTACATATGGTTCAAGACTTCCGGTCTTAGACCAAGTATCCCTAAAGTGAGAAGGCGAATCCCGTGTGGTGTGAATCGGGTTTGTGACTCACCACATGAAAAACAAAATCCAATGAAAAATCACTTATTATTAATTATTAGCCCCGAATAAGAGAACTCTCAATTGATGACGAACCTCGCAAATGTTTTAAGGATTACTTTTTGAGGGCATGCACCTAGAATGTCCGATCACTTAATTGGAAAGGTGCCGCTACCCAACTGGTTATCAAAGAAGCTGCAATCACAACAGACTGTCAGACAGAGCGGTTTTCTACTCGACCGGCACTCCTTCTCTGCGAGCACTCATTAGCAACTCGGTATATGAGAACTGTGGAATGGCATTTCACACTCCCTACGCACAGCTGCAAACTATTGAATTTCGGAAAGGTCGCAAGAACAGTTGGCTCAATGAGGACTGCCGTGACGCAGTGGTGAGAAAATAGACAACCAACAGACGAGGACTGTATGGATTATTGGGCGAGGTATTCAACCACGGCCGGACGAAAGCAGCACGACGACTGGAACATAAGTGTGCTCTGCCCAATTCACAAAATTGGCGATCTCACAGTCTGCGCCAATTACCGTGGAATAAGCCTCCTTATCATCGCATATAAGCTCCCATCAAGTGTATTGTGTGACAGACTAAAGTCCATCGTCAGCCAGCTGATTGGATCCCATCAGTGTGGTTTTAGACATGGTATGTCAACCATTGATCAGATATTCACCATGCGCCAAATCTTGGAAAATATTCGTAGAAAGAGAATCGACATACACCGCTTCTTCGTCGATTTTAAAACAGCATTCGATAACACGAAAAGGATCTTCTACGCCCACGCCTTAATCTCTGAATTTGGTAACCCTGCACTTATATGGCTATGTAAACTCCCTTAAGCAGCACCAAAAGCTCCGATAGGATTGGACAGTACCTCTTCGAGCTGTTCGATACCAAACGAGGTTTTAGACAGGGTGATTCCTTATCGTGTGACTTTTTTAACCGTTGGGGTCAAGGATCCCAGCATGAGTTTACCTTTTTTCAAGTTTATTTTTTTGGGATTTTGAGTTCTTTATTCTCATTACATAATATGTTTGCCTTATTCTATATGGTTTTTTCTCTTAAAGTTTTATTTTAGTTTTAATTTTATATTATTTTGATTTGATTTAATCTCATCTATTTTAGTTATTTCATTTTATCATATTAAATTTTGTTAAATTTTAAAAATAATTGGTAATTTATTTTGGTTAGATGTTTTTAATATTCAAAGTTTTCTAATAGCTGATGGTTGGTTGGTTTCCATGTTGTAACTTAATATATGGTGTTATTGTATCGGTCTACGGAAGGGTTCATGGTTTTTTATAAGGAGATATTATTTTATGTTCGAAATTAATCGGAGAGGTGAACATTCCCTGCCAAGGGACGACCGTTATTAGAAATTTTAAATTACTTTTTTATTTTAATTACTTTTCTATAACTTTTGGGTGCTGGTCGTACCAGGACATGGATTTGAACCCGGCGTTCCGAAAGGCAGTATGCAATGCTAACAGCGGCTACCGCGGCTGTCATTTTGCATTAAGCAAGAGTAAATTATATAATATACTAGAAAGCTATTGCTTTGTTTTTATGCACTAACTAGTTCCTCTTCCTTCATTTTTCCATGTCCACAGTTGGTATCTTTATAATGGACTATCCTAGGACTCTCGCTTCTCATACGATTGAAAAATATACGTTCTTGCAGAAAAAATGTCTTACTAGATTTTTTGATGAATTCAGTGGTTTTTGCTGCAAAGACTAATAAGCAACAAATTGCATGTATGCATTTCTAACTTTGGAAAAAGTGTATTTATCAACAAAATCCTTTTTTGTACAAGGAAATATATCGTCTTAGAAGCAAGGTCTAAAATTCAAGTGCAGATTTTGGTCTTATATAACTTTTGGGTGGAAAATTTAAAGCTTTTCAAGAAAAAAGTTATCTTTTTAAAAAACTGCTACTCTATAGTAGATATATATGCATGTTTGTGTGTGTGTCTATGCAGCATTTATAAGCTTGTTCCGAAATCTGGTTTCGATTGTGAAGATGAATTGATGGGTTGAGGTCCCGCGTTGTTGATGGAAATATGTTACGGGAATGTTATGCCAAAACTGGAGCAAGTGTATTTAATTGGAGTAAAATACTTAACATATGCGATAACGTAGACTTTTGCAGCATAGTCAAATATCAGGTTACCGCGACTGACTATAGAAGTCAGGTCATTGTACCTGACCATGGTAGCCAGGTCACAGAACTGAAACGTCAGCGGAATATGTTTTGAGCAAATGGGTAAAGATAAGTGCTGTGCAAGTTATTATTGCTTATTATTTTTTGTGTCCGAATCTTCTGTGTTAATATACATCAGCTCGTATTGACGTTCGTTGTATTAAGATTTCCATTGTAGCTTGGCTTTTTACTACAAGTATCATCCATAACTATCTAAACTCTTACATAAACTATTGTACATAAATAAATATACATATTTGTATGTGTATAATTAATGACACGTATATTACGTATAATTTAAAATTTTTGTTCATTATTTGATTTGCAATATGTATTGTTTTTAAGAGGGAAAAATAACGCTAACAGCATCAAACAGAGAGCATGTACATACATACGAGAATAAAGATATGTATATACAATATCTACCTTCAAATGCAGATAATCTTGTAAAGAGCCGCATTATTCATGGAGCTCAGTTTTTCAAAATATTATATTTCCATTGTCTGAAAATATTATCGTGCACTATTAATGCTAAATTGTTAACTATTGACAGAAATTTCTGAAGAAAAAACATATAAAAAATGAATGCTAATTAAGATAATAGTTGGGGTACAAATTACACTATTATGAATAAACAATTTTCTATTAGGTTATACATAATATAACAAAATGTGGCATTTATCTCAAAACTACGCTTGAGACTTGATTGTTAACAACGAGAATTATTTTGTTGGACGCAAAAAATGTGGGTGTATTAATCGTCGATGTTGAGGTTTGTATTTTACAATCCGACCAACTCATATCTAAAAAACTTAAGTGTCTTCAACTACTCGTACCTAGCCAGCATAGTCGTTAACTGTCTCCTGAATTTTCCCAATATAGGGAAGACCATAAATTGTTCGCAAAAACATCCTTTCGAAAACTGTTAATGTCCATTCTTTTAAAGAAATAATATCTAATTATAATGAAAACCATCTGAAGGGAGTTACGAAGCCCTATAGTGTGCAGCGTTTTATACTCTTACTTTGACTATTTGTCCAAAACGAATGAGCAGTAATTTCCTACAATATTCCGTGGAACATATTTTACTTTTTGTTATAATTTATTGAACGGTCGCTGATTGAAATTAATATACTTGTATGAATATTTTTTTATACAAAAAGGAAAAATGGTAGAAGGGACGACTCTTTCGCGGATCACCATATTTCCTAATTAGCCATCTGATAGCAGTGATCGAACCAACGGGTCCTGACATAATAGGCGAGTGCTCTAATCATGTAGTCCGTTGTAGCAATATTCAATTCATTATGAAGCAATAACTATTAACTTCTTACATTTGCGCGAAAAA